AACTACAGTCCAGGCCTCTCAAAATCTAACTAGCCACCCAAGCGAAAAGCTACGGGACAATGGGCACATCCAACCGCAATCGACACCACCACGAGATCCGGTAGCCAATATAGGAACAGAACAAACAGCGACAAACCTCACTTTACAACAACAACTGCTGCTAATGCAACAGCACATACTGCAGCAAACAGAAGCCCAAATGAAACAGTTCTTTGTCGAATTTCATGACCTGAAGCGATACGTTCATGAAAGCCTCGACAAAGAAACGAAGCGTCGACGTAAGCAGAGCCAACCGCGGTCCCAGGAGTCCGACGCCAAAAGCATGCTTACCTCGGACGCTGAAAGCACACCCACCTCCTCGCATCATGGCAATTAACCGACGCATAGCAAACGATAATCTCACTATATGGTCCTGGAACTGTCGTTCCCTGCACAACAAGCACGCTACACTCACTCTATACATAAAGGCGGCGCTGGTTCCTCCTGACGTAATCCGCTTGGAAGAGGTGGGAGCCAGGCCTAAAACAGTTTCTGGCTACAAACTGTACATGGATCCAAATACACCTAAGATTGCGACACTCGTCCGGAAAGAATTGGCAGCTACATGCATAACGGCACCGAACGAAGAGACGCAACACCTTATCGTAACGCTCTGGCCAGCGAAGAAAGGACGCCCGAGGCAGGTTATATGTAACATATGCAGTCCCCCACAAGACAGAAAAGCAGAATTCAGCAATATCTTCCAGTATTTGAACAACAAGCTTCAACCACGCGACCGCTTGATCATCACTGGGGACTTCAACGCTTGGCACACCACATGGGGTTATAGCGCAGACAGACCCAAAGGTACGCGACTTTTAGAAGCGATACAGCGCTACGACTACACACTTCGCACGACACCGGGCATACCGACTCGCATAGGAAACAGTGTCAACAGGGACACCACTCCCGACCTTACCATAACCAACAATGCCGCGACCATGCGCTGGAGTGTGCTGGACGACAATCTGGGCAGCGATCACAATATTGTGCAAATAACATATGAAACAGCTCGACTGCGACGCCCGCTCGGAAAAGCCAGACTGACTAACTGGACTAAATATAGAGAGCAACAGGAAGTAGACGGGCCCAAGCCAACAACTATAGCCCAATGGACACCGTACATTAAGGGTCTCTATGGCAAGAACACCAAGATATATCAAACAACTACCGACGCACCTGCCATTGACACCCACTTGACACATCTTTGGGAAGCTCGTCGAGGCCTCACGAAACGGTGGCGCCGACAAAATCTAAATAAGAAACTCAGACTCCGTATAGCGAAAATCACGGAGGAAGTAAACGCATACTCAAAAGAACTTTACAACAACAACTGGCGCACCTTCTGCGATTCCTTAAAAGGCACATTAAGCACGAAAAAGACGTGGAACATCCTACGGAGTCTTTTGGATCCCTCTGCAACAAGAACCGAAACAAACGCTACCCTTCAACGGCTAGCTGGGGCATTTCAAGGTGATCCGGATCAGTTAATAGAAGAGCTGAAACAACGCTACACAGGAGAACGCAAGCGAAACGTTAGCCCAACACCCAGTCAAGAATACAATGGAGAACCCAACACTGAGCTCGACGCCCCCATAACCTTTGCGGAGGTTTATGCAGCGGCTCAAAGCTTCAAAAGAAACACAGCGCCTGGATTGGATGGCATTACAAATACCATGGTACGGAACCTCAGCGACGAAGCATTACTAGCCATCACAGACCACTTTAATCAGGAAGTCTGGACACCGAGTGGAAAGATACCTGCAGAATGAACACTGGCACAAGTTGTACTCATACCTAAACCAGGCAAGCGGCGAAGCCTTGATCAGCTACGACCAATTTCTTTAACGTCATGCATTGGCAAGCTCTTCGAAAAAGTTATACTCACTCGCCTTGACCAATACACAGAAGAACGGGGGCTTCTACCAACATCTATGTACGGATTTAGGCGAGGAGTGTCTATCCAGGATATCTTCTTACTGCTCAAAGAGGAAGTGCTTAACCCAGCGCCAGGTAGTCTCAACAATCTACTCGTTGCACTCGACATCGAAAAAGCATTTGATAATATTGCGCACTCTACCATACTAGACGGTCTTGCAGCCATAGGATGCGGACAACGCATATTCAACTATGCCTCTGATTTTCTTGGAAATCGCAAGGCGCAGATTGGCATAGCTGGTACCAAATCATCACCATACGACCTCCCACTGAAAGGCACACCTCAGGGCTCCATCTTGTCTCCATTTTTATTCGATATCGGCCTCCGGAAACTAGTCCTCCAGCTGGAGACTGTACCAAACCTGGGCTGTGCCTTTTACGCGGATGATATTACGCTATGGGCAACAAAGGGCTCCTATGGAGAACGACAAGATGTACTGCAAACCGCTATAGACATGATTCAAGGCTACCTCACTGCTGCAGGCATGTCGTGCGCACCTAGCGAATCGGAATTTTTGCAAATAAGACCCCCACGCACTCGGTCCAACCGTGCACCCGCGCTGCAGCTAGAAATTGCCGGACAGATCATCAACAGGACCCCAGTAGCTCGAATATTAGGCATGCACGTGCAAGAAAACAACAACGTAAAGACTGCAATAGGCAAACTCAAACACACCGTAAAGAGTATTGCATCCCTTATAGCTAGAATTGCGCGAAGTAATGATGGGATGACAGAGGCCGACACGGTACGCCTTGTACATGCCTTCGTTCTCAGCCGAGTCACGTTCGCTCTTCCCTTTCAATCAACACGCAAGCTCGAAATAGAGCAGATTGACAGACTCATCAGAACTGCGTACAAAGCAGCATTGCGACTTCCGAACACACAAGCACAGAAAAACTCATGGGACTCGGCATGCATAATACGTATGAAGAATTGGCCGCCGCCACGCTAATCGCACAGCGAGAACGACTCACCACTACGCTCCAGGGAAGAACACTGCTACAGAGGCTGGGATACCCTCTCACCACTCAATACTGTGGCGATGAGACAGTCATTGTACCCAAGCAAATACGTGATCAAATAATCGTGGAACCAGTTCCAAAAAACATGCACCCACTCTACAACAAAAAGCGCCGTCAAGCACGAAAACTCCTGCAGAGAAGTAGCGATCCAGACGCTTACTTTACCGACGTCAGTCTTTATCCCGCGCCACCACAAGGCTCCAGAAAACAAGCATATGCATTGGCAGTGACTAACCAAAGCAAAGTCGTGGCCTGCGCGTCCCTACGCACCAGATCAAGTGCCACCGCAGAGGCAGCAGCCATAGCCTTGGCAATCAGAGAAGCCGAAAGAAGGGGGCGCTCAGCGTATATTTTGACAGACTCACAAGCTGCATGTCGCTTATACCTTAGAGGCACACTTCCAAGGTGCGTCACTGATATTTTGGGGTCCATGTTGATGGAGGCACATGGCGTCACTTGGTGCCCAGGGCATGACGGCCTGAGGGGGAACGGGGAGGCAAACTGCGTAGCTCGCGGACTTACTGGCCGAGACGCAGGACTCTCCTCAGGACACCTCACAGGGCATCATGAAGAGCAAAGCGTAACAAGCAGGCAGATATTGGAAAACCAACGCCTTACAAGACGCACGTACGCCCCTCCACATCCGAACTTAAGCAGCCCACAAGCCCGGGATTGGCGCCGCCTCCAAACGAACACATACCCCCACATATCAAAACTACACGCAATTTTTCCACAGATATACACAACAGGGGCATGCCCATGGTGTAGTAACCACACAGCCACACTTACACACATAACCTACCAATGTACCGAGCGGCCAGCCAATGCAGTATCTAGGTTGGTGCGCTCACTACAAACACTCACAACGTGGTCTTCGGAGGCACGGCTTTCCGAGCTGGCACTGGGGAGCCAACTGGCGACCCTAGACCAAGCCCGGCGAGCCGCTGTGGCCAGTGGGTCTCTACAAGAGGGCTTCACCCGGGATTAGTCACGTAATTTTAATTCTTCAATAAAGTTTATTCTCTCTCTAAGAAATGCTCTGCGTTCAAATTAGAAGTAATGAATTCAAGTGCTGCTTCATTTCAAAGTGAATGAACAGGAAAAGTAATTGTTATGGTGCAGGAGATACTGTTGGGAGGTCAAAAACATTCAACTCAGAAAGATGTGTGAGTTTTAAAGAAGCAAGTCAGGCAATCTAAATGAAAAATTAGGAAGGCTACATAGATAGCGTATCGCTACTGTTATTTTTTATTATTTGATTTGCATACACGAGTAAACAAGGACACAGAGAAAAAAGGGACAGAGAAGAGGAAGCCTACATGACCATTGGTCATGTAGATCCTAATAGATAAAGTTGGCAACTGCCGCCTGGAGGGGCACAACGCCTGCTTAGCAGAAAAGAAAAAAAGCGCTTCAATGCAATGGTATCACATATTCAATAAGAACAAACATTTTTGCACCCTAAATAAACGTGAAGCTCACAAACCAGGTGAGTCACACTTCAGAGCATGCACTCTTATGCCGCAATCTTCTTAAAATAGCGTTAGATAGAACGTTTCTTAATTCGTGTCTACATAGTAAGCATTCGATGAAAGTTCCTCGTATGTGCACAGGCCAAACGATATATCAAACTGCTGCCCCTTTTTGTAGGCAGCCAAAAGCTATTTATGGTAGCAAGCGGCAAAAAAAGAAAAACGAGATGGAGGCACAGGAACAAATGACAAGAACATGTGCTTGTTGTCATCGTTTCTTCTTGTGACTTCGCCACCAGAGGTAGCGAATGCAGCGTCAGCGTTCCGAACCAATTGCTATAGTAAAAGTGATTTATACATCACTTGGTCGAACGCGTCTTTGAGCAGAGAGAGAGAAAAACTTGATCTTATTCATATACAACGAGTATGTGGAAAACGGCCTGGTGTAAGTCGCCCCTCACAAACACTAACGTGGGCTCCTCATTGCAGAAACCCATTTGCGTCCAATGCGACACGGGCTCAGTTTACCAGGGCCTTTTGGCTCGCCAGGTCGGAGCAGCCGAGCAGGGCCGCCTCCCTGTTCTCCCGGGTCGGGCTCGGTTTTGGGGTAAAGCGAGGGGTTGACTGGCATGCCCATACTATGTGAAAGATGCCTGGAGACTTCTCTGCACAGTGCAGGCGTTTTTCTGTACAGGAGGGATAGAGATATTTAAAAACTGCCGTGCACAGCAGTGTTTTGGTGTAAAAGCGGAGGAGTAAACGCTCCTCCGCCTTTGTAAGGCCCTTACAGAGTTTAGAGTAAATTCAATAACGGAATCAATAAAATTCACTAATTTCTCGAAATGTTAAGGTCGGATTAGGTTCGAGATCTATTTCAGAAGGGTCTGAAGGCGTTGCTCGAAGAGTGAGCGTGCGGGCATTGGTGTCGCAAGTTTCATTGAATTCGAGACCCATGTGAGCTAGAGCCTATATGATCCTTCGGGAAACGAAGGCCTCGACGTAATTGCTGTTTTGTACGATGTGGTACGCCAGGTGTGGGACCTACCTGAGTTGAATATTTCTGCAGGCCCCTCTCGAGTCTGTAATGATGACGCGTGAGTCCAGGTCTGCGGCAGCTAGTGTGATGGTGACTTCACCTTCTGAGCACAGGGCATATGTTATGCCCTGTGCTCAGAATGTGAGGCCACTGACCGCAACATTTTGGTGGGCGACTGCAGCCGTGTACCATACCCCATAGTAAGGGTCGGAGGTGTTCACATAAAAGACCCCGCGCTTGTTCTCATAGTGGTGGACCAGCGTCTCTACCCACGCAAGGCGTCTGCCACTGTGGTCGTCATGTGCCATGTTGGCCGGAAGAGGGCGCACGTGCAGGGCGTATCTCCAGACTTTTGGAATGCGTACGCGCTCCTCCGTCTCTGTTGCATGGTGGATGTGTAGACGGGCTTAGAGGTAGCGACTCGACGGAGCCTTTGAAAGCCCCTTGTATTGATTGGTCAAGTGTGCCTCCCGGAGCTATGCGAAAGTGTTTACCATCCCCAGGCCCTTAGGGTGCTGGTTGGATGTGGTTATTGGGAGATCGAGGGCACGCTTGTACATCTTCCTGAGAATCCCCTCAAGGACGTTCTCGTCGACTTGCGCAGGTGGAGGTACTGAGCCGAGCAGAGGAGGCGACTGGTTACGAATGCATGCGCCAGCCGCAAGGCGCCTCTGCAACGTAACCCTCCGTGCTTGTTGGAAATTTGGTGGACCATACGGCCCACCTGGTCTCCCAGCTTACAGAGTTTTGTCAATGGTGTATCGACTCGGCGATGCTTGTGAATAAACAGACCCAGTACTTTCATCTGAGCGTGTTCTGGGAAGGGTCCGCTTTGCAAAGACGTTTAAAGTTTGGTAGTGCACTTTGGCGAGGAGTGAATGTACACAAATTATGATTTGGTCGGGGAGCATTGAAGGCTGCAGTGGCGGACGTAGGCCTCCGCAATTTCCGCCGCTTGCTGCAGGTTGGCTTCTATGTCTCCTACCGATCCGTTTTTAGTCTATATGGTAATGTCGTCGGTATAAAGTGCGTGTTGTATTCTTTGAACATTCTCCGGCTGAGCCTGTAGGTTCATCAGAGCCTGATCAAACAGTAGGAATGAGAGGACCACGCCTTGTGGGTTACCTCTCGTTCCTAATTTGTAGGGGCCGTGTTCTTCAATTTGTATTTGGACATATGACTGTTGGTCAGAGAGGAATTGTCTAATGTATCTAAACGGTATGTGTTCACAGTTGTTTTGGAAAGGGTGCGTCAGATTGATGTCATGGGTGACGTTCTCGAAGGCTCTTTTCAAAAAGAGGGCGAATACGTCCTTGTAAATGAGCGGGTAGTCGATGAGATTTAAAATTTCGCGGTCTAACTGAAGCAAGACATCTTGTGCGGACCAGTGCGGGCGGAACCCAAAAATAGTGTCAGCAAACTTATGCTGGTTCTCCAGAAACTTGGATAGCCGATCTCGCACCATAGTCTCTATCAGCTTTCCCGCACAACACGTGAGAGAGATCGGGTGATGGTTATCTGTGTTTATGAGTTCGCTGGATTTTGGGATGAAGGTGACCAGGACAGTCTTCTATTCGATTGGGAGGGGTGTCCCGCCAAGTCAGGTAGTGTTTATGTACGCGAGGAGTGCGTCGTACGCCTGGTGAGAGAGACTGGCAAGTAATTTCAATGTTACTTTGTCTCTCCGCAGTGCCATTCCTCGCTTCATTTTAGCCAGGGCCGCCTTCAGGTCACGAAGCCGGAACAGTTGATCCCGCTCTGCGTTCTCGGATCCTGCATACAAGTATGCTGACCCTTGAATGTCAAGTCGGACACAGAGGTATTGATCGCAGAGTTTGCATGCTAATTTGGAAGTGTCTCCATCGAAGGCATGGATAGCCCGTTGGAGATGGTTTTTTTTGCCTCGGCTCTGGTTTGGGCTGGATCAATCAAGGTGCGAAAGATACGCCAAGTGTTCTGGCTGGACATCTGTCTAGCAGCCATCTTGCATCGTTCCACCCAATTGGAGTCAGCGAGCAAGGCCGCGTACTCAGCTACTCCTTGGGTAAGCTCAGCAATGCGAATTTTGAGCTTCCGATTGTGTTTTTGGCGGCGCCATCTGCGGACGAGGCTGTGCCACGCCTCCCAGAGGCGAAGGTGGAGGTTGTGCACCAGTGGCGTAGCCTCATAGAGTTGAACTTGAGTTTCTCTTGAACGAAGGAGAGTGACCGATTCTTGCGACCATGTGTGGTAACCTGTTTCATGAGTCGGGGCCAGATTGGTGTAGTTTTTCTGGAACTTTGTCCAGTCGAGTTGGCTTGGACGTGGTGTCTTGCCAGTTGTGTGGTTGTGACGATTGTGTTGAGTATTCAGTGGTCGCTGCCGAGAGTTTTCTCGGTGTTGGCCCAGTCTGCGTGTCTAAAGTTTTTGGTGAAGGTAAGGTCGGGAAACGTGTCCCAAGTCACGGAGTTACCCACTCGCGTTGGATATATGTAGGGTCAGTGTGAAGAGTGAGGCCCAGCGCGCACGCAAGTTCCGCTAGCTTGTGCCCACGCTTCTTATCACGCACGTACCCCCAGCGTTGCCCTTGTGATCGTGAGCGGTGAAATCGCCCACGATGACAAGAAGATCGCTGCCTACAGCCTTCAGGGCGCGACTGAAGAGTGTTGCGAAAGAAACATTTTCAAGTTTTGGAGAGCAGTAGACGTTGAATATGTGTAATGGTGCGTCTCATTTTTTGAGCAGAAGAAGGGTAGCCATCGCGTATGAATATTCTTCTGTATTGAGTTTCAAATCCACTTGCTTGGATGTATAATTTTTGTGCACGAATATACAAAAACAAGGGTCCCGCTGAAACGTGGAATAATTTGGAAGGCTGGCACCACTTCCATGCCCCTGGAGGATAACCACAGCGGGAAGTGAAGCGAGACTCGATAGGAAAAGCGGGAGTTGAGCCCGCTTTGCGTGGAAACAGAATCCCCAGCAGTTCCATTGAGTATTTTGAAAGCGGGTGGCCGAATGGTACCACGGAAAGCGTCTAACTTGAGGGTTGCCCACTATGATCATTGAACTTCAAAAGGGGTTGTACGGACGCAGCTGTGGAGTCAACACTCGCGGCGAAGGTGGCGTTCTCAATTCGTGTAAGTGTGCAGCTGTCATCGTCATATACATCATTTACTATGGCGGGACGCGAGGTTTCGGGATAGCGGCCAGCCACGCCTTTAATCAGACCACCGGATAGTCGGACGCTACACGACAACTGTGCCGAGTGCTGGCCAAAGATTGTGGGGATCGTTTCGGTCATTTTGGCGATAGCAGATGTCAGTGCCACGGAATGTTGAATTTCCAAGGCATTAGGACGAGCGACCATGCGGGTCTCTAGACGAGCCTCAAGTGCAGCTTCCGCACTCAGTGCTGCCTTCGGAGCTGTGGGCTCACTCTCCATGGCCTCAGTTGCGGGTGAGGAAGGATTGGTTAGCTCTTTCGATTTGCATTCCATGAGCGCTATTTCGTTAGCAACATTTCAATATTGCCCTCGAGAGCTGCTATCTTGGTTTGCTCGGCACTGCGTGCCGCAGGGTGAGAAGGGGGGCGGCGCTTCCCATACCGCTCACCTGCGTTCCGTGTTTCACAACGCATGCTCAGGTCCTTGCGTCACCGCGTGGTGGCATCGTCGACAGTTTTCTTTTGTCGCCTTGTGGTGGCGGCTGCGTCGGCGGCCCCTTACTGTCGTTGCCAGCAGATGGTGCCGGATTCGCAGAATTGTCCTTCCGCCTTTGTGCCTCACCGGGGACGCCAAGATGGTGGCTCTTCTTCGTGACGCCGACTGCTTTTTCCTCTCGCCCTTCAGGGTGACCACCTTATGGGTGCAGAATTTTGCCGCACACTCTCGCGAGTTTGTTGCAAGTTCATCACTACATACAAGGCACCACGGAATACACTCGTGAGGGGCCCGCTCCCCCTCCACAAGAGGAGCTTCTTGTCAGCACAGTCCGCACGTGTTGGGCTGCCTGTTGGGACACGCATCCGCTCGATAACCAATGGACTCACACAGGCTGCAGGCTAGATTAGTACGGTAGTATTTGCGCACCGGAATAAGCACGTTCTCATATTGTACAAAACGTGGTTTCACCTTCCCGGCGAAGGTGACCCGAGCCTTGTTAGAGGACCCGAGTTACCTCACCTCGACGATGGTGTCTGCTCTTCATTGCACTTGCTCTCGAAGCGATTCAGTGCTGTCTGAGTTGCTGACGACGATGATGCCGTGGCACACATAGTCGCCATCTTGTCGAAAGCATCCATGAAGCGGGATCACCCCAGGCTCAGTGTTAACAATTCAACTAGAAGGCGATCTGCCACCGCTGGGTCCGCGGTGTGGATCAACACGATGTTTTGCTCACGAGACGGCACAACCGTGATTGACTTTGCCAACTAGGGTTCGAGGTAGGCGGTAAAGGCGGCTACGTAGCGGTTCTCCGAGAAAGATTCGTGCAGCGAGACATGTTCGCGTGGGTTGAGCACGACCACGAAGTCGTCTGGGCCTGGTTTTGCGAATGAGCGAGGCCTCCAGTTTGTAAAAGTCTTGCCTTTGCCTCCTGTAGTGCCATATTGGAGGGTGCGTCATGCCGGCCGGTGTTCCGGAGGCCGGGATGGCGTTGGACGCCGCTGTCTTTTCTTGAACGGACGCACGACGCGTGACTGCTTCATTAAGCGATTGGTGCCAAAAACTCGGAGCAGCGGAGTTGCCGTCTTGACAGGATGGTACAGTAGTCCAGGCCATGCCTTCCGAATCGTAGCCCCGCAGGTGAGACGCGGTGGCTGCCATGTTACCTAGGGTGGCTGGTGCGACACCGTCAGCGTTCCTGGCCTCCAGGTCCCAGCTTTTCCGTTCGGCGTAATGGCGTCACCCCCGTGGTCGGGTGAACTTCGGCTGTAATGACTTGAAAAGTGGGCCGGCTGGGTCAAAGTTGATTCCAACGGGGTCCAGATAGATTTCTGCGTCGATGGACGTCGGTCTTAGTAGAATGTGATTGGTTGAGCCGTGGCTCCAGCTGAAACTCGATGGAGCCGATGTGCCGCACGTCGTGCTTCGTCGCGCGCTCGTAACGCCTTCTCTCGGAGCAGCGTGCAACAAATTTCTTGCTCTTTTGATAAACCAAGACATAATTATCGAGAGAGCAGGATGATTTTGCAGCGAGCGGGAGTAGGGACGTGAGACGACGTCGAAGGCAGCCGATGGGATTGTGTCGATCTCGCCACTTTATTTCAAGTCTGAAGGGGAGCTGCAGCGGCTGCCAGCGTCTGACACGCCAGGCGCATGAACTCGTTCTGTTCTCACGCAGCTCGAGCTAGAATAGGGTGCTATCGGCACAGCGGAAGGTCAGGAAATCATGATGATGAAGGCACTAAATGGTCCCCCCCCCTAACGCTTTGCGTGGTTTTAAGCTGTATGGAAAAAGAACGAGAGCGACAAATACTGTATACAATAATGGCAATCCGTAAGGTGTCCGTTGGGAAGTCCAAGTTGTTAACATGGGTAGATCATCGGGAACTAGATTGGCTCTGGTGGGCAGCTCTGGGAATAGCACAGTGGAAGAGGGCCACGATGAGAGCACACTGCTGGAAGAAGTGAGCGAAAGGAATAGCTCGGAATTGAGCCGTGGGCCAAGAAATTCCTCAGTGGTGCGCAATAAATTTGGCACACACAAGCACATGTGGTTTTGGTGATTCTCTGCACACTTTGGTCAAGATATAGGAAAACAGAGTGGTGCGTTTGCATAGCATGTCTAGGCCAACTGGTTTAGCATTACATTGGTACGTAATGAAGAGATCCCGAAATTAACATCGCTACGAATAAACGCAAAGTATGATGATAATCGCATGTAGTGGAAAATAAGCTCGCTCATTGGTTAGTGCTCTCAAGCAGAGAACAACTTACAATTATTGAATGGAATGTGATGAGCAAACCTAGACTTAGAATCTAGTTTTATTTCTAGAAAAGACACAAAGTCTGTCACATATATTAAATCATTGTTGAGAGTTACTTGTGGTACGCACGACAAGAACCTTTGATTAGACCTTTGATGTTACGCGAAATGACGCTCGCATGCAAAAGGGCACTAAATGACACCACACATGGCTACTACATGACCAACATGCCTATTTCAGAACCACAATCACAGTTTTATAGTTAAACACGTGGGCACACTCAGACATGCGCCAAAATTCACCGTCGACGTGAAATGCTGTCCAAGTTTAGATGGGGAATCAGCACTTACGCGAAACTAAAAGGCCACCTGAAGGGTTTTTTTCTCGCACTACTTGATCTTGCGGGTGGTTTTCGATCATTGTTTAACAACAAAGCAGTTTTCCATCGAACTAAAAAATAAATAACCGTCTAACTGCTGAAGCCGAACACATCTAAATGATCGGCCGGATTTGGTTAATTTTGCGATAAGTTGAAATGTTTATATAGACATGTAAATGTCATATATAAGCATATTGCGTCTACTGTGTTTAATAATAATATCTGTGGTTTTATGTCCTAAAAGCCCGATACGATTAGGAGAAGTGGTGTAGTAGTGGGCCTCCGAAGTTTAAACCAACTGGTGTTTTTTAACGTGCGCTAACATCACACAGTACACAGGCCTCTACGATTTCGCCTTCATCTAAATGTGAATGCCACAGTCGGGATCAAACCTGTGACTTTCGGGTGAGCAGCCTAGATACCTAGATACTTTTTCAACCTCTGTTCAGTTTAAAATATTCTTTTTGTTCTTGTTTTTGTGCCATCATACGTCATGTTATAGTGTGACGTCTTCTAGGCTGGCAGACGCTGTCTGAACTGTAAGTGAGAGCAGGGACACTTGCAATGATCACCAGCCTGTAGTTCACGCCGTCCTCTTGATTGCTAACCTACCGCAGCGGTTTAGTAGCTAAGGTACTCGGCTAATGACTCGCAGCTCAAGGGATCAAATCACAGCTATGGCGGCTCCATTTTCGATGGAGGCGAAAATGCGGTAGCCCCGTGTCTTTCACCGCCGGAGTGGAAGGCGGTAGCCCTCCACTCCGGCGTCTTTCATAATCATACTGACGCGTGCCTATGTGTGGACGAAAACGATGACGGCGGATTTAGCGAACACCAGGTAGAGGACCTCTGGCTATACTCGAGAACGAGGAAAACTATCTTGCGGCTAGGTTGTTTAAAACTCGCTGCTTTCGGTGTCTTAAGGTGTACCTTTGTTTTTTTTTCGCGTTTCACTGTGACACACGGTGAGAGGCCTCGCAACCGTCGGCCTAAGCAATGCACAGGAGTTGCAACAGGTGACAATACGTCTGGTCTGCATGAATGGCTCCCAGTGGGAGTGTGGAGCATCAAGCAGGGTTTCGGCTCCGAACCTCCACCAGTGTCGCAGTGCAACAAGAACAAAACTCTCGTACACCTTGAGAGAGTGAAAGCAGCGTGTTTTCAACAGTCCGGCCACAAGGCCGTCTTCTTCGTTATCGAGTATAGCCAGAGGCCTCGTACCTCGTATCCGCTATCTACCCCATCGTCGTTTCCGTCAACGCGTAGACACGCGTCATTATGTTGATTTTTGGGCATTAAACCGCACATATCTATCTGTTCGATCGGTCAAGAAGATTAGAAAAATTAATATTACACAGATTGGATTGATGCATTTGGTGATTTCTCAATAAGGGATCAATCGGTAGCCTAGTCAGCTAAAAAGTTGTGTTTCTTGCGCATGCGGGCATTCACGGTGCTACATCTTTTATGAATTCAATTTTGTCTATCTGTCTGTCTGACGATTGTGTTTCATATCTGGTGCTGTATTGATAGTAGGCATGTTGTTGCTTGTAGCGTTGTGAGGTGTCATGTTGTTTCTTCTAGTGTCGGTGTGTCGTTCTGTAGAAGCAGTTCAGACACTTCCCCAACAAGCCCACATTGCAACGCTTGCTTTACCGGTCCTCATACCTTGAAGTTCCCCGCACAAATAGGTCCAGCGCTTCCTTCATTCCATTCAATGCCAGTGCGAACGCACGCTCTTCAACGGGAGCCATCGCTCCATCTTAGTTCAGAGAGTGGTCGTGAAGTGACGCCGCAGGAGCGGTAGGGCTGCTTGCAAGACACATGCTTCAGAACACTAGCTTCCCACGGAAACGCGATAGACGTGTGTGCCTCTCTAATCTCATGTGTCTATGATATTTGTTCCCAGGTACTCGTTCTTTGTCGCTGGAAGCCATGCCGCCGCCACTTCACAGCGTTACCTATACAGCAGCATCACCGTGACGCGTTCCCGTTGGTTTCGCGCATAGCGCCCAAACGGCGACACGCTACGTCATGTATCAACCTGGACTCATTCATACCCGTGCGAGACCACAACGGGCGGAATACAGAACTCACCAACAGCGGTAACAAGGATGTGTCTCATTACAATAGCCATAAATTTGTCTAAACAGGTGTCACTTACAGAACCAGCGTGACCACGAACGTTGTGATAAAGAGGAACGCAATACTCAGCCCCGTGGATCTGTACACAACTGAACAAAAAATTACTTTCTATTATAGCCGTCTTGAGGCACTGAATGAAGAGCTCTCTTCTCCGTGACCGCAATGCTCAAGCGAAGGCTGGATGATGGGCGAGAGCAGAAAAGGGCTGGAGAAGAGGCTGGTGAAAAGTTGGATCAGGCGCATTTGACTGGCGTTGTTAAAATAGAGAAGGCACTGCTAAGTATTTTAGGTTGTCTTGAAAGTGCGTGTTATCACTTCCTTGCGTGAGCTTCGAAATCCGAAAAGCTGTAGGATAGCTATTCAACAAGATATGTTTGAACAGATCAAGGCACAAATAGAAGGTGTAGTTGCCTTGTACTTGTCGATGGCATCCATAATTTTGGTAGTACTGGAATTGGCTGGGAAAATAACGTTGATCCCTCCGTCCAGCAAAACTATCATGGCATAAAGCATCCCAGAAAGATGTGTAATAGGGTTCACTGCTAGGAGCACGTCTTGATCACCAAACGGCGTTATAGATCTGAAAAAGAGACGCGCGCAAACACTGGTTACTACGCATCTACTTCCTTAAGAAAAACAATAAATATTTTGAAATGAAAAATTGTGTAGCATTATATTCGATTCTGTACTCGAAGCGATTGATCTATACTTGTATTGCTGATCATTTTTCGAATAACCGTTCGCTGATGTGAAAAGTTGAAAAGGAAAGAAACGGAACAGCGAGAGGCTACGTTAATTGGTTTAAATATTTGAATTACAAAGATGCATAGCC